GAAGGCTGAGGCAGAAGGATCGCCTAAGCCCAGCAGGTCGAGGCTGCGGTGGCCGTGAGTGTGTTACTGCACTCCAGCCTGGGTGACAAGAGTGAGACTCCAACTCACTCTGGGGCCAGGCACAGTGACTCATGCCTATAATCCTAGCACTTTGGGAGGTGGAGGCAAGAGGATTGCCTGAGCCTTGGGGTTCAAGACCAGCCTAGGTAACTTGGCGAGATCTCATCTCTACAATGAGTCAAAAAATTAGCCGGGCATGGTAGCGCACACCTGTAGTTCCAGCAACTTGGTAGGCTGAAGCAGAATGATCGCCTGAGCCCAAGAAGTCAAGGCTGCAGTGGACATGAGTGTGCTACTGAACTCCAGTCTGGGCAACAGAGTGAGATGCCAACTAAAAAAAAAAGTTAAAAATAGGCTGATCGTGGTGGCACGTGCCTGTAGTCCTAGCTACTTGGAAGGACGAAATGGGAGGATCGCCTGAGCACAGGAGGTTGAGTCTGCAATGAGCTGTAATCATGCCACTGCACTCCAGCCTGGGCAACAGAGAAAGACACTGACTCAAAAAAAAAAAAGTATTATTTTTATTGGACTGAAAAACCCCTGCTTGCTTTTATCAAGCAGGAAATTCACATTTGGTTATCAAAAAACTGATATATTTGTAGAAATAGGTGACACAGAAAAGAACTCTCTCCTACTGTATGTTATTTTTGCCTGCCCAGCATCAATTTCCCCCTTGTCTAACATCAGCACCCTAGTTTTTCCTAGAGGACAAACCCCTCTTTCATTTTGAGTGAGGTTGCCTCCTCTTCAAAGAGGCAAAAACACGACCCAGTAATTGACTGAAGAACGGTATATGACCCAAATCAATTCAATGTGACTCATCTGCAGGGCTTTTGTTGTGTTCATCAAAAAAGAGATAAAGGAGCCGGGCTCGGTGGCTCAGCCTGTAATCCCGGGCTTTGGGAGGCTGAGATGAGTGGATTGCCTGAGCTCGCGGGTTCGAGGCCCACCTGGGCAACTTGGCGAGACCTCATCTCCACAATAAATCAAAAATTAGCCGGGCGTGGTAGCGCGCATCTCTAATTCCAGCTACCTGGAAGGCTGAGGCGGAAGGATCGCCGGAGCCCAGCAGGTTGAGGCTGCGGTGGCCAGAAGCAGCCACTGCACTCCAGTCTGGGTGACAGAGTGAGACTCCAACTCAAAAAAAAAAAAAAGAGATAAAGGACATGAAGGGGATTTCTGAGGTGCTGGTAATGTTCTGTTTCTTGATCTGGGTGCTGGCTACATGAGTGTATACAGTTCATAAAAACTGATCGAAAAACGATTTTTTTACAAAATGGCCAGGTGCAGTGGCTCAAGCCTGTAATCCTAGCACTTTTGTAATCCTAGCCTGTAGTTCCAGCTACTTGGAAGGCTAAAGCAGAAGGACAGCCTAAGCCCAGTAGGTTGAGGCTGCGGTAGCCGTGAGTCTGCCACTGCACTACAGCCTGGGCAGAATGAGACTCCAGCTAAAAAAAAATTAAATTAAAATAAATAAATAAATAACGGACTGAGTTCTACACTTATTTTATGTGCACTTGTATACTATGCTTTAGTTGTTTGGTTTTTTTTTAGTTTTTTTTTTGAGTTGGAGTCTCACTCGGTTGCCCAGACTGGAGTGCAGCGGCCGCTCCC